CCTTCTTCTCTCTGTGCAAAAATCCGCAGCTCTCGAGTGAACAGTGTTTCTGCCGCCCAGGAAGTGCCTGAGGCTTGGAGAGGCTTCGCATTGGCTCACCTTATCCATGGCGCGGCCCGGTCCCCAAAGTCGACGTATTGGTATACTGTCATTCAGATATTGGAATGTTATAATCCTACACCATTATATTCTTATATGATCACAAGTTATTACAGGACATAGTCCGGAAATGGACATTTCTGTGCAGCCTCTGCTGAAGACAAGCAGTCTGTCATTGCACATAGCTAATGCCAATGCTTGCTAGAGTAGGCCGTCCAATTCAGAGCCCAAAAACCCGAAGGTTCACGCCTGATAGTTCCTTCAAATTCTGGCATGCATCCTAAAAAAAGCAAGATTCACCCGAGACCTCTTCAACAAGAAATGCAGATACTGGACGCAATGAGGACGCATCGTGCAACGCGATGAGCTGCGTCGACTTGGGCACGAAAGGCAGCCAGTTTTCTGACAGTTTGGAAGAGTTCATCAAGGCCCTTATAGCCCCCTTATAGCCTAGTTGAAGATTGCCGCAAGCTCCAGCATTCAGCTTTGAGCTCCGATGTCGTCGTGAAGAACTTGTTGGCATGTTGGGCTCAAAGTGATTGCCAAAATCTTGACAATCGCAGCTCCTCGCAAGCTGACGCAGCAAAAGTCCCCGAAGAGCCCTAAACCCTCATGGCCCTCATGACAGTCCCACTGACCCAGGAGAAAGTATCATTCCCTCCCATGATTGCCCTAGACTGTAGGGCGTCATGATCCTAACTTACTACCTGCGGTGGCATCCCAAAGCACCATACTCCCACGACCTTATTCGCAGACCCTCAACCCGCCCAAAGCCCCAAAGCTCTACGTAAATGCTAAGCAACCCTTAACAAACTCAAAGGCCCCCCCAAAAAACCGACAGGGGCTCTGGAGTTCTGTGAAAGCGCGCTCCTGGACGGCTCGCGCGTGACTTGCTGGGGGCCCCTGCTTTGGGGCTCCTGCGCTCAGCATTCGGGGTGGAGGATTGTGCATGGTGAGGTTCAAGTCCTCTTGGGCTTAGAATCCCAGACAAGCATCCTTATACCCCAAAGCCCTGAAGTCATGTTCATTCTCTCCTGGAGTTCCTTGAACATCATGGGGTTAGGGCATTGGGGTTTGGGGTTCTTAGGACCTTCCGCGGGCTGAAAGCCTCCCCCCTTCCCTACCGGAACAAGAATGACATGAGATCCGGTTGAAAACACGCCACCCTAGACCCAAAGGCCCTCAAACCCCCTTAAAGCACCCTTAAGCCCGTTAGACCCCTTAAACCCCCCTCAAACCCCTCAAGCCCCCTTAAACCCCCTGAAACCCCCTTAAGCCCTCTTAAACCCCCCTCAAACCCCTCAAACCCCTCAAACCCCTCAAACCCCACACGCAAAGCCGAAAGGCGTGGGCGAAGTGGTGCGCGATCGGAATGGCAGCCTCAGCCCAGCCCGCAGAATCGGTTGCAGGGTTTAGAGTTCAGGGCTCGGGGTTTCGGGTTTAGGGTTTAGGGTTTGGGGTTTAGGGTTTAGGGTTTGGGGGGGGCGGGGTTGGGGTCTATTCTAGCGCTTCTACGGTGAGTTTCTGGCTGTAGGATTAGTTTTGGGGCTAGCTCAGGGTAGTTGGAAAGTCTAGCTTAGGATAGGTTAAGGTAGTGGTGCAGAAATTCGACTAGTTGACTAGTTCAAGCAGGTTCGGATCAGAGCAGGTTGGGATTTGGCCCTTCGAGCATGGATGAGGGCATTGGGGCCTGAAGGACTACTTATATGGCATCCGAGCCTCATGGTGTTGTGGCCTGCACTAGTTGGCTTTTGCTATCTTGATCTTGGATGTTGGGTGCTTCTGTTTTGTCAAAGATGGGTCAGTCGGTCATAGGTACTAAATAGCCAAAATAAAGAATGGGGCATGAGTCGGAGTATTGGTGTACGAAGTTGAATCAGAGGCTCAAGGCAGGGAACTGAAGGTCTTTGTCTTTTTCTGCCTTGGTTCTTTGTACTGGCTCCTGCATGAGGTTTGTGCCCCTGGCGCCCGCCGCAACTTGGCAGCACACGGGCAGCGCCAGAAGAGTTGCCCTTGATGGCAACAAGTCGTGCGCGATGACAGACTCCCTGCTCCCCGAGTGGCCCCTCCTACTTATCAAAGTATGGGCTGCAAACTCAAGATCCAAAATTCTCAACCCCCGGAAGGCCGAATTCCCAACGCCCCTAGAGACACCCTTCAAAAAAACAAACACAAACCGCAAAGGTACCCTAGGGAGGGGGGCCAATGCTCCCGAACATGGCCTATTGGGAACTGCTGGGACTTGTCGGGGCGTTTTGGGGCATATTGCAGTTTCAGGGCTTAAGACCGTTTGAACTTGAGCCCCTTTGCTGCAGGGTGGTCGGCTTGGATTCGCCTCAGCAGCCTCGAAGCCGCGTGAGATTCTCAAAGGTTTGGGGGGGGGGGGGGGGGGGGGGGGGGACCAGAACACACTCCAACTTTAGCTTTTAGGGCTTGGGCTTTATAATTACTTCAGGTTGATTATCGTTCCGGGTTGAAGATTTAGGAGCAGGGAGCTCAAAACCTTCCGCCATGTCCAGAAGAGATCCTTCTGAGAACAATGGCGAAGGAATAGAATACACCATGTCAGGGGCAAGTCGAATAGCTAAGTGGCCTTGTGTCCGATGTACACGTTTTATTTCAGGGCTTACAGGGGGTTTGCCTTCTTTTGTGGTGAACCGAAAACGCGCCTTCATTACCCCTTTTATAGGTCTGGGTTTGGTATTAAAAGCCTTTTGGGGGAAGCCTCAGGTCGATACGTTGAAGGCAGCCCTCTTCGGGAAGCGGCATCCTCGGATCAAGTGAAGGGCAGGAGCAAGCCCCAAGACCCCCTGGAAGCAACTTCGAGCACTTGAACGGGTCAAGGTCTTCTTTTTCCGTGGGACGCCAGAGCTTCAGGGTGGCCCACGCAGGTTTTAGGGTTTCAGGGCTTTGTTTGATGTGTGTGCCGTTGTTGGGTTTAGTGGGCTGTGTGGGCCTTTTGATTTGGGAGATAGCCTCTTGAGGACGGATGTTCTTTGGATCTGGGTTTGGCATGAGAAAGTCCAGTACCCTTTGCTGGCGACTAGAGACTTGTGCCGAGGTTCAAGGCTGAGTTGACAACAGACCCTTCGGCTACAAAAAACCTCGCACTCTCAACCCCCTAAACCCTAGACCCCTAAAACCCTAAACCCCTAAAACCCCAAAAACCCGAAACCCCAAACCCCTAAACCCCTAACCCCCTAAACCTCCCTTGTCCGAGAGTGGAGGGATCAAACTTTGAAAGCCGAGGCTGTCGACGACCTCCTGGGTGCGCCCCCATGGGATGCCCTTGTGGGAAATTGGGGGGGATGCCCTTGTGGGAAATTGGGGGGGGAGGGGGGGGGTGTGGATGGCACATCGTATTCCAGTTTTGTCGTGTTGTAGCATTATAGCTCCCTAAGCCTAGACCCTAAGGCCTTTGCAGCATTTTGAGAGTTTTAAGTCTCGGACTAGGGTTTAGGGTTTAGGGTCCTTAAAGCTTCAACATGGTCAGTGGGGGGGCAACTGGGCTGTGCCGCGGTGCTCGTCCCGAGCAGGAGTCACCTGGGAGCACCTCGGCACTGGCAGGACAAGTCCTGATTAGTGGGCTCCTGAGCTGGCACAGCCTGGCAGCGCAGGGACCACCCTTCCCCGAAATTTTAGCCTAAGCCCTAGTTGCTATCCTCGCTTGTAAGACTCCCACTCCAAGGTTCTCAAGCCACCACCTCCCCCCGCCTCCTCGAAAAAGGCGCCCATGCCAAGCCGGGCTCAGGTGATGGCGCAGACTTCATTGATGGCAACTCCGCTTTCTGGCGGCGGCTTACGCGAGGTTCACTGCAGCAACCTGTAGCTCGAGAGGAGGAGTCGTGATCCTCATCGTACCGTACGGGGTACTCGTGCAGGAACTGCGCTATTTACTACTGAGATCACTCTTGTACGGTCGAGTTCTTGCTGCCCTGGTAGGAATAGGAACAGATGCCAAATGATGCGAATGCTAGCTGCACTCCCGGGCCTGCAGGTCGAAACTGGCAGTCGACCTCGCTGCTGGTTTCTTGAAACCTGCAAGCCTTGCACTTGGACAATTTGGATGAGGCGCTCTTAGACTAAGAGCCAGGGGAACACAGAGTGAAGGTTGGAGTTTGGGGCGGCTCGATGACATGATAGCGTTTTCAGACACGAAACCGAAAGACAGAGTCCTCTGACCCAGCTGCCGCCTGCATGTCCCTCGTGATGATGGGTTAATGTTCCGAGTGCGCGTGGCAGGACTTCCTAAAATTCGTGGACAGCTTCATCGCAGCTTGAAGTGCACGGTTTCTCACTTAGATTTAGGGACCCCTGCTTCTGCTTCTATGCTTTCAGCAGGAGGTACCAGTCTGTGCCAGCATACTTTCCCAGATCTTCGAGTAGACAAAAGCTGTAAGCCCTTAGACTTCTAGACTCAAGAGAATTCGAAAGTCTACGACTTGTGCATCGAATGTAGGTGGGCCACAGATGGGAAACAGTAAGCCTGAGGAAGGGTGACATGCTTCTGCTGAGCCCTGACGGGACAATTAGCACACAAACTTCCCTTGCAAACAGCCTTGCTGAAGCGAATGCTTGGCAAGGCAACAGTCCATTTCCGGCTCAAGGATAGCCTCCAATTAGGACGGCGCAAGAACTCTCTGGAAAAAAAGAAAGCCGTTCGTCACATGGATTCTGTGGTGAGGAATCGCCCCCACCCCGCTGAAGAGTCATGCCGTTGAGCAGCCTTGCACATGCAGCCTTGAAGTGCAGCTCCGGCGCAGCACTTGTTTGACGTATTTAGAATAGAATTGGGGTCATATACCCTATACTCGTACTACGAATACCCCCTATTACGGTATATGAACCAGAAACCCTCTTTTGGGGCGCCTTTGGTCCCAAACTATTCAAGCACATGCCAGGTTCGCATCGAGGCGCCCCCCGGTTGGGACTTCCGTCCGCTCTGCAACCTATACCTGGACCGATGGAGAAAAGCGCGCAGTAGGGTTTGGGGTTTAGGGTTTAGGGCTTCGGGTTTAGGGTTTAGGGTTTAGGGTTTAGGGCCCAAGTCTGGTGTTTCTGTTCGGCTCTGCGGGGTGCATAAGTTGAGTCGCGGCAGCAGTGAGGACTCCACCCCACAATAAACTCGTCAGGCCATGTTCAGCCCTAAACATTCATGAAGAGTACAACCCAATCCCTGGACTACCCGGACTACAAAAAACCCTAAACCCGAAAGTCTGGAGAGCACCTAGTCGGTAAAGGCACCACACAGCGAGCTTTTCCGGGAGGACGTGACAGGCGGCTGCGACAGCCGCTGCACGTTCCAGCTGCCCTACGCAGAGGCCTCTTGGTTTAGGTGATCTGTACACGTAGATATGTATACAGGTGTGTATGAAGAAGTGTTTATATGTATATGCAAGTATCTGTACAGGCTCAAAATGGTCAAATGCATATATGTGTGCATACATGTCGTGTTGAGCACGTGCCGATTGAACCGGGGCATTGCCAAGTGCATGGGGCAATCTGGCAGGAGCGTGGCCATCACATCTGTCCTGAGGCGGGGACGTGCAGCGTCGACGACTCTCAAAGCGGTGCTGCAGCTGCAGCGGCGTTTATTTCAGTTTTGTTCGGTTTCCTGCTTCGCAATGAAATACGACTTCGTTATTGATGTCTTGACAAGGTCTTATTCTTTGGGATTTGATGGGATGTGCTGATTCTCCTTATCTCCTGTGCGCATCAGCTTCAACCTGTGCAGTGGCATGAAGCCACTTCAACCTGACCTGGAACCTGAAGACCACCTAGTAATGACACTACTTCTTAAGGTTGAGTTCGGCGCATGTGCCGAGATGGAAGTAGGAGCTCAGAGGGCCGGCGTGCGACCCAACATCCACAAACCACGCAACCTGACAAAATCTGCAGATGCTTTAGTTGCAGGAGGGGAATCCCACTCTCAAGGAATCGCTACTGTGGCCGTCGCAAAGGGCATAAGCAGAATGCCCGTACCTTGCATGAGCGAAGATGAGGGAGCTCCGGTGGACAGGGTAGACACATCACTCATTCACCCGGGCATGCGTGTGAATGAGGAAATGCCTCGTGCTTGGAGGCCAATGTGCTCCTTCTGCTCCTTGACCAGACAGCAGCGGCTTGGCAAATGCAGATGCACAGCATGGAAAGGTTCATTGCGGCCTTCGGACGCAACAGCTTGGCTGTGTTTCCTGCGCATCCCCCCAAATGCCCCCCCAAAATGGACCCGCCATCAGTGAGCGCGATGAAGAGTTCCTTTGCAGGATCATGCTTCAGACATAAGCTCTTGACTCTTGAGGTCATCCAAGAAGGCGTTTTCGTTCTGCTGCTTGGCGTCCCTGTCTCGGTGTTGAGCTCGCAGTGCAGGTGCAGGACGACCTACATGCTTCCAATTTCCAGCCATTTCAGTAGGCTCAAGCCTGGGAGCTGGTTAGTGTCACGGGAGCCCCCCCCCTCTCACCCCGCGCACCGCCTTGATGAAACCTAAACCATGAGGCCATTTCAGAGGGAACACAACGCCCAACGAACCGTGCGAAGGTCGTAAATCCAGCTGCATCGCCCTCGCAGAACCTGTGGAAGGCCGAGAGCACAGCCTGCTCAGCTCATGGCAAGTGGCAGCAGTCATGGGGCCATTTCAGGACTTCAAGTGGCTGTTGAATGGCTCTTGAACCCTAAACTAAACCTGAATCCCCAAGGCAAAGATTCTGGGGAATCCAGCGCTGGCCCTGCCCCGGCAACTGCGTGCTCAGATCTCCCTGATCAACAGCGCAGCGACTGCAGCCGACGATCCCAACGCCGGCCAGGCTCGGCGTCTTGGCATAGAGCGGCTCCAGACTGGAGGGTTCCTTTGGGGTAGGGTCGTATTCTGTCAAGTAGGGGCACCCCACATACGATAGCCCCAAAGGCTAGAGAGCTCTAATTCTATGAACTCCCCAAAGAAGGTCACCCCCTACTGTCGCAACCCCCCAAAGGATTCAGTACATATTACCAAAGGCCCGATCATGTTTGTAGAACAGCGCCGAGATTGGGGGGGGGGGGGGGGGGGGGGCCAAACTCAGTTAGTAGAACCCTGCAATATTGAATTAACTGATGGTAACACAAGCATAGAAAGATACAGCAATGCTACAAAATCAAACATATCATTGGATTTAAAAACAGACCAAGAAGCACTGAGGTTAATGTTAGGAGCATCCACAGATACGGACACTAATACATTTATTGAATGTAATAATGCAACAGGAGGAACAACAGTATTGAAACCAACTTATTTTAAAGACACCATAAATTATGAAGCTGAGAATTTAAATGTTTCAATTCTAATTATTCAGGACTTACAATTTACAAACCAACAACAGACGCCAGTAATGTTGTAGCAATTGCTAATAATTGTGGGAATTAAGGTTTAGAGGTTTTAGTATTGATGCTTATAATACCAGTGACACATCACAACAGTTATTTTTGAATATGAATAATTCTATCGCAGTGAGATGTAATAAATTAGGGATAGGAGCTAATGCCGTTGTAGATGTTCTTAACGTTAATGTTGGCAATTCTAATTTTAGTTCTACTGTAAGATTTAACGGCGCTACTACTTTTAACAATGAAATATTGATATGGAATAATGGTAAAATATACAGAAGAGCGGACGCTAACAATTCATTAAACTTAATAACAAATGACGAAATGAATTTCTCATTTCAGCCAAACAGAGCAACCGATCCAACAACAGGAACTATAGCATTACAACTAACCGGCACTCACGGAATTACAATTAACAGAGCAGTTGCAAATAATCAGACTTTTGACAGTATAGGAAAAGTAACAGCAGAAGCAGATTTAGATGTATGGGGTGGTGTTTATTTTCAACATTCATCAGCAATAAAGGAAACTTTAAACGGTAGTGATTATGATCTAGATAAAAGAAACGGAGACACCGACAGAGCAATAAATTTTATTAGTGGAACGATAGGAAGCGCACCGGAGCTTCAATTAACAGAAGGTAAAGTGAATTTATTAGGTAATTGGGAAATAACACACGATGATATAACAGGACAGCAAAGGGTTTTAATTAATAATCCAGATGACAATGGATGGGTACGATTAAGCAATAGCAATTTATCAACATTAGATGCAACGACAACAGGCGTTGATGTTTATGGCGACCTTTCATATACAGGGTCGTTAGTCGTTAATTCCTTCATCGGATAAAAGATTAAAGAAAGATATAAAAGAAGTAAATTTAAAAAAAGCAGTAGAATTAGTAAATTATGTTAAGCCGAAAACATATCATTTTATTGATGACAGACAACAAGGAAAATCATGTGTAGGATTTATTGCTAATGATTTTATGGAAACGAAGAAGATGCCAGATGAATGGCAGAATGTAGAAAAAAGGAAAAGATGGCTATTTGAATTTTGATTACACAACATGTGTGCCAGTTTTATGGAGTGCTTTACAGGCAACAATAAACGAAGTAGAAAAATTGAAAAAGGAAGTAAATAAGTTAAAGAAAATTCAAAGTGAAAGTGACGATGCCTTAGCATCCTCAGGGCGAAGCCGTGACGGCGAACGAAGTTCGCCCTCAGGACGAAGTCGAGACTAATTGTATTGTTAGCTGAAATAATATTAATCACCTATTTCAAAGCGCTGTTCAAAATTAATGTAAAACATGTTATTCACATCGTTAGCATGTGTGTTTATATAAAAGAACGAGTAAGGTGCAAAATTCACCGCTTGTTGATACATGTCATAAAGTGTTCGCTTGTCTACAAGGGCACTATTCTCTTCCAGGAAACTATTTACCTCGTTCATGTTCTTCAGTCTGAATATGAAATGTGCCGAGGCATTAAGTCTTATTATAGGGGCAAGGACATTATACTTTTATGTGGATAAATTGCATGAGATGGCATTATGTCTTCCGCGTGTGAACAATCCATGCAAGATTTTGGAGTATCTTACACATTTAGCGTCGTCCGCGAAGTCGTCCACCACTATTAAAATACTGAATAATTCCTTTTGTTTGTTCTTCTTCTGGAAGTCTATTGCCTTGTGTTGTGTTTCTATTATATGCTTTGATGCAATTGGATCGTATTCTTCATAATATACTTTTTCCTTTTCGGTATCCACTTTCATTACGTCAGTAATATACTTCTTGACTGCTCTCCATGTGTCATCCACATGCACACTAGGGCTAAAAATGTATATTCTTTCAAAGGAACCCCGGTATATCTTCAGTATAAGATTTTGTACTAAAACAGATTTGCCACCCGTTGAAGAAGCAACACATAGCATTCTTGCAGGTAGACTGGGCATCATCTCGTATTTACTATTCTTATAATTGTATTTGGGTATGTCGATAGGTTCTACTTTAGGAATATCTTCTAACATTAATACTAGTTAGAAATTATATCATTTAAATATATATGGATCGGTATTGAGATAGAGAAACTTGATGATATATTAAAAACTCCAAGATATAGAATGTGTTGTCGTAGTTTGTTGGATTTTCTTAAGGCATTCTGCTTTCATATAAAAATATTTAGAAAATTATAAATAATATAAATGAGCGTCAAAGGCGATGAAAGCTACAAGAAAAAAGGGTTTTTAATTCATTCTAAAGGTGTATCTTGTATCCCTTGTAGGTGCAAAAGACAATCTTATCATAAGGAAACAAAAACAGCCAAAGAAAAAACATAATAACAACGAACATTGTGGAAGACAGGCAGAATATGAAATTTGGAGCAACAGGACGACATGTATCACCCGATGAAAACCACATATTCAAAAATGATAATAAAACAGGAAGCGTTGAAATATGTGATACTGGTTTTGGACCTCATGGTATAACACCCGAGGAATGCGAACAGAGAATAGAAATGACCGAGACAGACATTGAATGTATTAAGAAAGACATAGAACGATTGGAAGTAGAGATTGAAGAATTGCAGTTTAAAATTGATAAGAAAATTGTATAAAAATATAAATATGGATTGTTTGTTTCCTAAGAAAGAAAACGAAGAAAATAAAGCAGATTGGCTGGCGGAAAGAAGAAATATCAGAATGTATAACGCCAGATTAAGTGCTATTATAGATGAACTAGAGGATCATTATCATTTGGAAGAACTGCGAGGGTCCTTCAGCAAAAGGTTCCGACTGCGTGCATTTTCCGGTCTTCTTTGCTGGCCCGCGTGTGCCAGTCAGAGCAGCGCAGTGTTCGTCACCTGCCTGCTCCTGCAGGCTTTGCTCGGTTGTGTGCGGTAGCAGCTTCAGTGCTGTCACTTCCTGTACATATTGGCACCTCATGGCCGACTTGGTCGAGAATTTGAAGAGCACCAGAAACGACTTGAAGCGACAGCTTCGAGAGGCCTCCAGCACCCTCCGCAACGAGGCAGTAGGTGTCTAAAAGTCCCTACACTTTTTGGGATTTGTTTGCTATATGAAGCTTCGTTTTCGGGCCTCAGGTCAGGAAACGCAAAAGGCTGCTTGCCAAAGCGGGCCGACTATCCGAAGGTGACAGCTAGTCTGGCTGCTTCAACGGCAGCAGCAGCAGACGCATGGCCGTGACAGTGTTCCCGCGGGTGAACAGCGTGAGCGTGTACCTGCGGGTGAACAGCGTGGGCGTGTTCCTGCGGGTGAACAGCGTGAGCGTGGCGAGGGGCAGGGTGGTATGGTTGGCGGTCAACAGCGCGATGGTCACGAGGGTCAGGGTGCTGCGGTGGCGTTCCCCGAGAGGCATGGTGGTATGGTGGGCGCTGAACAGCGCGATGGTCACGAGGGTCCGGGTGGTGCGGCGGCGGGCAACGCTTGATGGCGAGACAGCCTGAAGCATTCAGTTTCAAGTTTGGCATCGCAGGCCGTCCTGCAGTTGTATAGTACGTACGCAAGGCACAGCACAGTACAGAGCACAGAGCTGGACTCGTGAGCTTTTGTTGCAAAGCACGAGTCAACGCAGGCATGCAGGAGCGGGAAGAGATTGTAGCCATCCGACAAGGCTTTGCTATTGTTTATATTTTGGCACGCAGCTCTCGACAGCAGTAGGCAAGTCCCGTGGACGAGACTTGAATGCGTGCGGCTGTTGTATGATCCTGAAGAGGGGTTCCACCTCGAATCTGTTCCAACATCCGTGCGTGTATGCGTGTGTCGTGTGAGTAGCATTTGCACAGTTTGCCGATGGCTCAGAATTGGGCGGGGGCCTTGGCCGGACCTGTAGGCGCATGTGAAACTGTTCGACGAGTGCCCAAACCCTGGTATGCTGCAAGGTCTTCTGATATAATGCAATATGTGCGGGCCTTGGCCGCCAATGCATCTTTCAAACTTTCCGGGTGTGCTTGGAGGTTCATGTGCACGTTTAACCCCAATTATGCGTCTACATAAGCCTACGTAGGGTTCTTTAATTGGTTATCAGTGCCCATGAACCTCCAAGTTCTAGGACGTCTTTTGCAGAACACGTGCTTCTACAAACGTTTTGAGGCCTCATCACTGGGCAGCCTGCAGTCCGTCGCTTGCAGAATGTTGCCTTGCAGCTTGCAGTCCATGAGCTTGTGTTGCTTTTCCTGCCGGCTTGCAGTCCTTGAGCTTCAGAACTTACGGGGAGGTTCATGGTGCTTATTCACTACTTATAACTGTGCTTATAACTGTACTTATGCTAGGGCATATAAGGGGACTATCGTGGGTTATACGTGCCAGTGATACGTGAGTCATGAGTACCATGAACCTCCAAGCATTGCAACCAAAGTTTGGGGAATGTTGCCTTTCCTGGCAGCTTGCAGTCCTGGAGTTTTCGAATTAAAAAATTGGAGAATG